TCGGCGGATTATCTCTGGTAGTTCATACCGAGATTTGGGGAAATCTTTTCACATGTGTTCCATGGGGCATTGACATTCCTCGTTCGTAGCTGCCACAGCCACGATCCTGTCCAATGTAATTGCCCTTAATTGTGGATGTTGTTCGTAGGTGGAATTAAATAATGACTTTATAGCAATGTTGATCAAGTTGTGCTGAAGCTTTACTAGTTATACCATTTTTCTTGGCGCTGCAGGGTACCATCATGTGCAGTCCGGTGAAGCATTGTTTTGTTCGGGGAGGTAGTTTATAAGGAACTTGTACATTATTGAGCGTTCCTTGAGGCTGAAAATTCCTGCGTTTTTTATATCCTCCAGAGCCTTATTCGAGAAAATTTTTATTAGGGACTTGTGTTCCACCGTTAGTAGTAGCTTCGGACATCGAAACACGAGCATTCGATACGACACTAATCCGTATACTAGCGCCTATCGTATACTGCCTACCTCTCCAACGGTGCGTAGCGTGACTCGGCGTGACCGGTTAGAATTAGTTTCCAGTGGTCTTCACCTCAAATCGGTCCCGCTTCGGTGGCACAGTTACAGTGCTTCTGGAACAGAAACTAACCTAGCCCTGTTCTACTAAAGTCTTTTGACAGACATGTCGGCCTATTGATTTCACACTGTCCTCGATTTCTCGTGCAATCATTTGTTTTGATTCGTTGAGTGTATTGTCCTAGTAGAACTTCAGGTCCTTTGTTCGTAGCAATTCCCAGAAAGGGTTCATTATTCCGGCTAGGTAGAATATATATGAAACTTGGTTCACAAGTCCGAACCAGGATCTGACATTGGTGATGTTTTGGTGGTGTAGGGATATGCAGGATTGCTTCCGTCATACTCACAGTGGGTTTTATCCCGTCCTCCGTTATACGTAATACGGTGAAATTCACCTCCTTTTCTGCGAATTTCTCCGGGTTGATTACAATTCCGTTGTTGCCACAATGGACTTATTTCAGAGTATGTCATCGTCGATACATCGGGCTTTTCAGACTATATTGATGGTTATATCGTCGAATAGACTAGTACATGTATCTAGCGACCCGTGGAATCTCTGTGGGACTGGAAGGTATCGATATATGACCGATTCAGTGATGAATGTAGTGCAGCTGGGGAGAGGGGAAGGCTATGGTACCGATTCTGTGTGTCCAGGACATTTTTTCCTCGTGTGTGCTGGCATCATTGAGGCCTAATTAAACAGAGATGGGGTATGGTCGGTCTCCCTCATGGTAGCAGCGTTGAGCTTCTGCAAGTCTGCCGTGCGCCTGATGCAACCACCATCCTAGAGCACCAAGTTGTGAGCGTACTTACCGGCACTGATTCGATGATGCCCAGTGTAACTTATCGGTCGATATCCTGTTTAATCCTTCTTTTCTAATGATGTGGATCCGGTATTGGGGTGTGGTCCGCTGTTGGCGTTGTCCCCAGAATGAAGGTCATGTTCAAGGGTTTCTCCCTTCATGGTCTCTAGCAAATGGGGCTGACTTATATTGAATGTGCTGGATCCAAAATGCTCGAGCAGCCATTGCTCCATTCGGAGTCTATTGCTCTCCGTATGGGTAATTGGAATATTTGCCGGCTTAGGTGGGTCGATCATTCTTCGAGGACATTCACGCGTGCCTTTCCATTGTCGCTGCTTGTCTCGTTCTGCTTTGATGTTGGGTTTGGAAAGTTGGGAGGTAGTAGACCTAGATCCTTCAAGTCCGATTCGGGTAGGTAAAACCCGGATATGTTCTCCGACACATATTGTTTTGGTGCTTTTTATGCGTAGCTGGTCCTTTGTGATGCCCCGGATTCGGTGACTAGTCAGCACTAAGTATTTGTCTAGGAAACCTTAAGAACTTTCTATATCTAAGTTCCGCGTGTTAGCTACCACGGCGATTTGGTGGGTGCGAAGGCTAGTCGATCACATAGAGCTGTACCTGAATTTAAAGATAATGATGGACCTGGAACCTTCTCCGCTGGGAACTTGCTTCCGTTCCAAATGAGATCAGTCACAGCCTTTGATTGTGCCAGGTTGACTTTACCCCTCCGTTTACTTTGTCCGAATTGGTGGACCATCCTTTTGGGATCCTCCGTGTACCCTTTGGTGGTGAGAACATGAGATTCCTGTTTTGACGTGCTCATCTGTTAGCTGACCTCTTTTTGGATCTCTGGCACACCCTCTCCATGTGCCCGATTAATCCACAACCAAAACATGCCAACTTGGTCGCCTGACAGCCCCCCTTCCGATTCATTGATCCACTGGGATGTGAAGTCCTCTCACACTCTCTGTCGGCTTTGGCGGATTGTGGATTCAGGGAGGACTTGATCTTCGGGTACGGTCGCTCGCGGTATGACTTTTGCGTGTTGGATAATGTAACGTCGTCCGTCGTCTCTGAACTGACTAACCTGTCGAATTTCTGCTCTGGAGCGGTGAGGGTAGCGGTCTTCGTCACTATTTTGATCTGTTTTTCGACATTAGCAAGCCCTGCCACCATTTATCCTGCTAGCATGTCGCTGGAGTAATTCACTTGCCAACCGTGTGTTTGTTGTGTTTGAGCAAGTAACAATATACTTGCAAAATTTGGCCCAGGCTCATAACTGAGCTAAAAAAAATGTGTGATTGACTGTCCCTCTTTCAGCTTCATAGAATGTAAGTTCTGCCTAGGTACTTCTTTGTGCAACCCCACTGACAGCGACGACACGTATTTGCCGTAACAGCAGTTCTTCTGTGGCAGAGTTGAATGTCTTGGCCTTCACTAGGTCGAATAGCAGCCTGTTCACCTCTCTTTTTATAACGGATCCATGTAACAATAAACATCACCCAGTCTGCTGCGTCCAGTCCTATCGTAGGTTGTTTCGGTTTCCTGACATGAGACGTGTTTGGCTGGTCACGAAGTCCTTAATTTTGTATCGCGATGTTTTACTTTTGTAGCTTAACAAGTTGTTGCATAAGCTGAAAATATTGTTGGTCCATAGATAGTTTTGTCTCAATTTGAACGTTGCTATTTTGCAATTTTAAAAGCACTTATCGGCGACATTATGTAGAGTGCTTGAATGAGGGTCGCAATTTGTCCACCTTCCCAGTCTTCCTGCTTGCCTTGTTTATATTTGCGTTGTTCACACGTCTTGAACGTAGTCGGGTTAGTCCATTTCAGGAATGGATTACCGGTGTTATTCTTACAGACGTCCCTCCTTATGATACGACCGTCTGTACTACTCTACAACTTTATTGTTAGATTCAGGACAGGTGCAATGGTTTTGTATCTAGTACATCTCAATTTTCATAGGGTAGTATTCATATAAAATATATATTTTATTCTTAGTTATTTACAATAATGGATCATATACAATATAGATGAACAATTCAACCAAAAAAATTGAAAATAAATACAATGTATGTAAATACAAATTAGAGACATGTCACAATCGATCATCCCATCTTAAATAAATCAACAATGTTTTTCAGCAACTTTTAACATTAACTTGAGATTTTCCTTGTTAAAAAGTTGAATAATTTTAACACATTCAACATTATGAATAAAAAATAGTGAATTTTATGTGATGTTTTTCGAGCTTAGAAATGTGCAAAACAATCTCACGGAATTGGACAAAATGACGTCAAAATCCGCGAAAAGATTTCAGCCTTTAATAACCAGTTGAGCTTAGTTTCATTTGTAACGTATATAATTGTAGGCAGAAGAAAGCAAATATTACTAAGATAGCAAAGGTCAAAAACACTACCCGGGGTCACGTTCAGGGTTCAGTCCCCTTTTCTATCTTAGAGAGCTCTCAATAATGTCAAACGAAACGATGTTTTATGGTACTTTGATTTGCTCAGACTAATGTCCTAATCTTGATTGTAATTGTTTCAATGTTTCAGTTGCTGCACCCTGCGGCCCTCATCAGGTGTCTATCCTAGTTCATAACTTTCTGGAAATGTCGAACCAAACTTTTATTCAATAGGAGATACAGATGGATATTCGAGAACTGACCCATGAAATGAATACATGACCGCCAGATAATTCAATTCCCTTAACCAATGCCTTTATTTACCAGGACATGCCACTCTCAAGACAAATGATGGAACTCGGAATCTTAAATCTATCTGACTCTTCAAATGTCTACTATCAGTTTTACACGACGTCTGTTGTAATTAGCTGGTAGAATGTTTGAGTCTTCAATTCAAAGATATTTATGCTTACATTTAAACATAAATGACACTTGTTTTGAAATGTTTAAATTGTTAAAAAATTGTCTAACGAAGTTCTAAACTGATAAAATGTACATATATGTAATATTGAATCTTGTTTAGAATTATCATCCAATTACAAGAGATACGTTTATCGGTACATAAAATATTTATTCTAAAGAATTATAAGTACTATTAACAAATTGTGTATACACTTTCGAATATACTTTCGATGATTAAGTTAAAAGTGGGCAAATTGGTTTCAATAACTAGAAATTGAATAAGAATTGAGTAAGAAAACTTTTTATTTAAAATAACATTGGCAAATTTTGCAGGCGCATTAAAGATTCCAAGTGCAAGCGAAAATATATAAATACTAGATTAAAAACAAACTAAAATTAAATAGAAATAAAAGATTAAAATAAAAACAGAGCAGAGATTAGTTCAAATCTTATTTTCTAAAACGATACACGAAAAATGAAGTTCAGGCGCTTAATACGAATCCCATTTTATCTCACTAATGTGAATTTTGTTCTTGTGGAATAAAATTCTTTTGGTGATTACACCGGGTCATCAGCGAAACATGTCAAAATAAAAAAGAAATTCTAAATTATTTCCTTCTCTATCTCTATATATATATATATATATATATATATATATATATATATATATATATATATATATATATATAAGAGAGGGGGTGAGAGACTCAGACATACAGGTAGGTAGAGAGAGGAACGAGATAAAGAGAGAGATGGCAGAGAAATCATAAATGCACAGTAACTCATTGCGATATTTAAACTCTGATAGATAGATAGATAGATAGATAGATAGATAGATTAGTCTTAATATTTTTGTTTGTAACAAGTATTTATATACAGGAGCAAAAATGTTATTGCTTTTTCAAAAGTTTTATTTTAAAAACACTCATAAATATTCATCAGGTTAGCTGAAAAGTCAGGCAAAGTATGGAGGAGACGAAATTCCATGTCTAATAAATGAAAGCAGAGTTATATACAATAATTGTTGCAAAATAAAATACTTGCATTTGCTTTGCTAAAGTTCCTCCGGCGACGAAACGCTACTCTGTTATTTTTACACCCGCGCTTTCCATATATATATATATATATATATATATATATATATATATATATATATATATATATATATATAGAGAGAGAGAGAGATAGATAGATAGATAGATAGATAGATAGATAGATAGATAGATAGATACAAGTTTCATTATAGACGACTGACAAGGTACTGCGCTTAAGTTTTTTTTATTTATTATTTCTTCGTACAAGTTTTTTTTCTTTTCTGGCCACAAAATGTGTAAAACTGCTCGAAATTTCTGCATACCTGAGTGCGTTCGTCTATTCTTTTAGCCATTATCAAGGATGATTTTATTTTTTATTTTTAACTGAATGTGTGTTTTTTTTTATGTATGTATCTGAAGTTATAGGATTATGTTATTGAGTGTTGGCTTTTTTCTTTTTTCTTTTTAGTGCTTCCATTATTTTTAATGTTTTTTTACATGTGGATAAGACTATTTTACTTGTATTTTCTACTAGTATGTTGCAGATAGTGTATGGTAGGTTGCTGTGTGTGTTTAAATGAGTCCTAATTGAGCTATGGTAGTGTAAGTGTAACTAACTGCAGAACTTTGAGACTGTTTTTATACATTTTGTGTTTAGAAAAGAAAACACTTTTACGAACAAAAGAAAAAATAAATAAAAACCTCAGTCGGAGTATACATATATATATATATATATATATATATATATATATATATATATATATATATATATATATATATACATGAATCATTCGTACAAAAAACAGATATAGAAGTTAATGATTTAAATCTTTAACTTCTATATTTGTTTTTTGTATGAATGATTCATGTAATGTAAATTGAACTGCACCACATACTTGATCCATCTATCTATCTATCTATCTATCTATCTATCTATCTATATATATATATATATATATATATATACGGTTTTAAGCACTTTATTTTAATGTGTTGAATACGCTAGTTATTGAGAGGATACTTTGATGTATGCTAAATCGTTGTGTTGCGGCGTCTATGTTAAAGTCATTTAGAAACGGCTCGGCTTGTGTGTTGCTTTCGTTCAGTTGCAGTGTGTATCAAAAGTTGTCGGAGGACAGAAAAATTATCAGTCGCTGAAAAGTCATTGAGTGATGGAGATTTATTGGTGCAAGAAGTGAACAGTGGCCTTCTCGTCAAGTACCTGCCAACAGTAGCGATATTTTGCTATAAATAAATTTAATCAAAATGAAAGGCGGAATGCACCACAACACACAAGTGCATCAACCCTCGTAATGTGTAGGGAGGCGTGACCGCAGACCACTATGATATCCTTTCTAAATAAGGCCAGTCGCCGAGTGCATTTTCAATAGACACATGAGCATTGGTTTTGAACTTGGAATCATTTAGAGAAAATCAACTGTATTTTTACTATGAACGTACACAAGCAAAAATGTATTTCGTTTTTTTTCTTCTTTTTAATAAGGTAAATTACAAGTGTTGTGTTGTTTCCGACGACACTAGAATGACCCGCAGAAAAGCAACAAGCCGTGGTACTTAAGTAACGTTTTGTTAGAAAATAGTAGAAACTAATTTTTTTGTTTACAACATTAAGATTTAACCAAGATTAATGAAGAATGATAATGACTAGGAAATACACGTATAATTTTAACAAAACAAGAATTTATTTAGGAATTTACACGCTTGAAATAGTCTCAGCAAGCTCGTTTCAGGAAAATAAATCTGAATTCTTAAATTTTCACGTTTTGTCATGAAGTTGAAATGTTCATACAACAGATAAAATGATCTGAAACAAAATAATATTAAAAAAAGGATTTAAGACAAAGATAACAGAGTTCGTTGCTCACCGAAGGGATATATGGCTTGCATAAGTTCAAAAGTAGACGATGAGATATAGTTTGAAATACATAGCTTTCTTGATTGTTGAGAGAATTTTTTTGAAGTGTCACGTACTATGTAGACGCTGATAATATAATTGCTGAAAACTTCAACGCTGTTCGCATGGAACCTTTCACATGACTTCAGACACCTTTTTCTGATTATTTTAATTCTTCTCATTTTATACTAAAATGAATTTCACGTAGGTTCGATACGTTCTTTTCTTCTTCTTCTCGGCTAGTCGGTTAATTTCTGTGAATCTCCCAATACAATTTCACATAGGATCTCGAATTACTTTCATTCTTCTTCTCAATTTCTTCCGGTCAATTTCTGTGAAGCCAAGGTTTTCATTGATCCAAAGAAAATTTCACTTATGCTCGCAAATTATTTTCCTTTTTCCTCAGTCCTCCGAAATTGAAGGGAGTTGGCGAAGAGAGTAATTATTATTTCGAATTCACTACAAGATCATCTACATGATAATAACTGTCGGCGATCAGCATTCTGCTACACACCAATAATTTAAATGACAGAAAATCTATTCACTACATTTTGCTCTGACCTGAAAACCAACTAAGATCTCAATGTTATTAGGCACATTGGGGATGTGACGTCCAGAAAACTCCCCAGGGTCTCCATTAATTGCAGTAGTCAACGACCTACTGTTAACATATCGATACCAGATCCCAGAGGAAAGATTTAGTGTCTTTTTACATGCTTCATATGCTAAGAATCGTGTTGCAGACACATAAGAGACTAAATTTCTATTAGACAGATGGTCATAATATTTTCTCTAATCAGTGTATATGTGAATGAGAAAAAAAGAAATAATATTCGAACAAAAACAGTTGTGATGTTCAGAATTCAGTCTACGGAGACTAACACAAAATAAAATTGAGAATGTAAATGATTCGAGGAATATATTGAGATAATCGGTCAATTTATTTTAGAAAAGGCAGAAATCATCAAAAGACTGATTTGCAAACAACAGTTAAAGCACGGACTGAAATCGAATGGAATTATCGGACAATGGCAGCTGATTTTAACAACGAATGCATCTTATATATATATATATATATATATATATATATATATATATATATAAATTCAGTTATGTGCCATGCGTGATACACGCTTGGGCGATCATGTATCTTTCAATACATGAATGACGAGACAGAATTTTTCCCAGAGTAGGTTGCTATCTGCCATCCAAGGCTATATAACCCGGTCTGTCCTGAAAGGGTTGATAAACTGCAAAAAATTAAAGAGGATTCATACCTTTCCCAAGGGTATATTAGCATGTAAATGAATTTAATGGATTCAACTGGAATTCGAACTTGGTACTCCGATTACACAATCAGAGCCGCTAACTATTACTCCACTGTTCAGTTGATTAACAACAATTTTAGAACATCCTTTTTAATTCTAGTTACTTAAAAAAAAGTTACTTAAAATATTAAAAAGAGCAAAAATATTAAGGAGATCAAAAAATGCATATATTTGTACAAACGTTTCATTGTATAATGATAATAATTTTCTACAGAACGTCAGGCAGCAACGAACATGTCTGCTGAACCAAATATTAAAACACCTCCGATATTGTTCATCATAAGAAAATAACAAAAAATGAGATACTCGTTAGAATTATTAATAGAAAAATGATAGTGTTTTACATTTGAAATTCAGAGAACAGCTTTTGTTTTATTGTTGATTAACACTCTTTCTTGGATTTTCATGGCCTTTGATAAATTTCATTCATCGCCTTTGATAAATTTCATTTATCGCCTTTGATAAATTTCATTTATCGCCTTTGATAAATTTCATTCATGGCTTCAAATTCCTGCTCGTTGCATATACTTACGCACCTTGGGAATTGGATGAATCAATCTGTTCTTCCCCAGCTTTGGGTTAAATAGTAGAACTCTGGAAAATGGTTGTTATCTACAAAAAATGTAAATGTAATATTCACACGTAAAATAAATATTATTCTTACAGCCCAGAAAATATGTTTCGGCTTTAAATAATCCATAAAGGGTTGATAAACCGCAAAGAAAAATAAATCAATGAATTTCTTCTTTCCTTCTATTTTTCAATTTTAATTTTTTTTTATTGTTTTCCGACTTTTTTCATTTCACCTTTACCTTGTACCGTCTAACTTTTTCTTCTTCAATTTTCTCCTTTTCCCTCTTCTTAATTTTCTTCTTTCTCCTTTTTCTCTGTTGTCTTACCCTCTATTTTTCTCCATCCGCCTTTCTGCTATTTTCTTTCAATTTCTCTTTCTTTTTCACTTTTAATTTCTCCTTACATTCTCTTTCCTATTTTTCTTTCTTTTCATTATTCTATTTAAGATTTAAAAATATTCAATTCTTCCTTTTCCCGTTTGACATCCTTTCTTTTGATCTAAATCTAAATTTCAAAACTTATTTTGTACTCCCTGTGTCTTTCATCCCCCAAAAGGTTCTGTTGATCGCAACAAAAAGTATATTCGGTCCGTATATTTTATCATTTGAACAGGAATTGTTCAATGCGCGTAATTTAATAAAAAATAAAATATGCTATCTCAAGGCTGTTCCCAAAAGGAGAAAAGTGGTTTTAAAAATAAGTATTGAAATGGTTGAAAACTCGTAAGAAACATTGTTCAAGAAATGTTTGTTTAAGATAAAAAAATGTTTCCGAGAATAAAAATAGGGAGAAAACGGAAGATTAGTCAAATTTTCAAAACTATTTTTACCTTAGTGAATCCAATTACATTGTTTGATAAGGAAAGATTCAATGTTTTTTCCTTGTGATTTTATTTTCAGATCGCGTTGTATGAAATATGTCCGTCCAGTAGTGGTCTGCAAATTATTTTTGCTTGTTGCTTTTTTTGTTTGCTCTTTTCTAGTTTTTCAAAATTTAAAAAAAATGTGAACACTCGTTAATTTTAAGAAACGCTGTTGAAATACAGTACACTATATTAGAATAGAGGAAGTGTTCTCAAACATTCACACAATCAAAGGCGAAAATGGCTTCCGAGTGTAAACAAAAATAGACAAAATGCTTTTTATTTACTGCTGTATTGGTGGAAATCGGCTTTATATTGTATTTCGTAACTTGATATATACATTTTATATATATATATATATATGTGTGTGTGTGTGTGTGTGTGTGTGTGTGTGTATGCAAATTCAAAATTCAGCAATTGAAAACTATATATATCACCAAATTAAATGATATATTTAACAGGTCAGATTTCAGATGATATTAAGTCAAATTTTTGACAATAAAATTGTTAATAAGCAACTGATCTTAGTACCATTTTTAGGATATAATTATATATAGCAATATATCATGTGACTTTCGGATTATAATATCTCTCTTTATTAAAAATAATGTTATTGTTTGTAAATTGTAAGGCTTTATTGCAGAAAGTGAAACGTATGTTTTTATTTATAAATAAATTCAAAAGACATGGGTTACGGAAATATATTTGATTAACACAATAAAGTAAATGAATAAATTATTATTTTCTTTTACATATTAATATGAACTCATTAATATTCTGCAATATATTTAACCACGATGATAGATATTATAAGCACATGATGTATAAAACCTGAAAATTCTACCAACCTTGGTTGGTTAATAATTGTTTTATGAAAATATTGACTTCAATAATAAAATCCTACGTGGTTAGATCCGTTTTTGATTATTTTCGAGGACAAGATGTCTCACATCTAAATCATTATCAGTCATTATCTGGAACGTTAATGCTCTCAGATAGAATAGGAAAAATAATTTATTAGTTTGGTCCCGTCATTCTTAGACACATTATAATTTTAATTTAAATATATCTGTATCGAATACGATTACGTCATGTATAGAATGGTTTGTAACCATATGCAAATGAGATCTATTTCATTTTTGTTTAGATTAAACCGTAGGTAATAACAAAACATGATAGCAACTAAAAGCCAAGATATTATTATTTTTTAATGTTTTATTTTAAAATGCCTTCCACTATACTGTGTTTAACGTGGCTTGTATTAGAATAAATTCAAGTATTTAGTGTCTTACTTTATAATGAGGGCTATATAATATTATTAATAATCATCTACTAATGATTGTCTGATATTAATAATTATACTGTGATCTCACGTAATGTGTTGATCAATGTGTATAGGAATTATTACACTGTTTTGTAAAGTCTTATGTAAATCTGTGAGAAACTGTTGTAGTTGTGTAACGAATATAAATATATATATATATATATATAATATATATTGTTATTATTATTATTATTATTAGTAGTAGTAGTAGTAGCATTGGAGACGACATCTTTCAAATCCCAAGAGAATTAATAAACAGCATTGCTTTTGCGTAAGAGATACATTTTAGGTCAGTCATTTTAGTAATGATGAGTATCCCCACATTCACTCGATCGGAATGTGATTCAAGGTTGAGTCAAGAGTGTGAGAGGAATTAAGGACAAAATCATTGTTCAAGCCACTCAATGCTCACCTCACCCATAGATGCCACAGGCGCCAGATAATGATCCTCATCCAATCTCGATGAAGAGTTATTGCTTGGGGGGGGGATTCGATCCTGGGACTTGAGAATATCAAACTAAAATTGAACCACCCAGATCGGTTGGGCCAGGTAAATAATGATTAGCTGTTTTTCTTTTTCTAAATAAAAATAATAAATGATCAATTGTAAGTATTTATTAGAATAATTATGTACCTACCACATATATATTGATAAGCATTTTCCTCTTGATTATGTTGACGAAGCATCTGGTAAAAATAGAATTAATTAAGAATATTTGTTTTTGCTTATATCAGAATTGTCGTTTGTCTTATTTTTTTATACACTTTTGAAAATCTAATTTTCTTTGTTTATCAACGACATTTTTGGAAAAGTATAATTTAATAACTGCCTTCTTTTGTTATTCTGTTTTTTAGAAAAAGTAACGCGTGCGACAAAGAAATTAGTTCAGTTGATCATATAAAACAACTATATTATATATTTGAGTATATTCGCTTTGATAATTAAGACAAAAATATAATAGTGTTTTCTTATATAATGGTGTAGTAAGACAATGACTTTTAGGATCTACTAAAACATCAAGCATAAACATGCTATTATTAATGCTAAGTTTAATATAAATATGTCCTTACTCTATCGAACATAATAAATTTGGCTAAATTCTGAAAAAATTATTTTCGTAGTGATCACATAGAAATTATTAAAAAAAACGTTTGAGAGGCGACACTATAACTACGTCATCAGTCTGTGTATAAATCTTACCACGGCGGTCATAGAAATGGTATTTGAGTGCTAGGGGATAGGTTATCTTGTGAGACAATGGTAGCGCTGTGTTTGGTAAAAAAAACCAAAAAAAAAAACCCAAAAAACGGAAACATTTTGTTAGAAACAAAGAAACGATTACTGAACTGTTACGTGATACCCGTCCGCCTGTATGGCAGTGAATGCTGGACAATCTGCTCATAGATAAAGAGGAGACTTCAAGCAGCAGAAATGTGGTTCTACAGGAAGATGCTGAGAATACTATCAACCAAACATGTGAGCAACGGCGAGGTTTTAGAGAAAATGGAAATGAAAAGGGCATTTATACTTAACATCAGGAAGAGACAGTTTTGGGAACAGGTAATGAGGAAAAAGTTGATTGAAAAATTTGATACTCACAGAACAGGTAAGCGCGAAAAAAGAAAACAACACATAAAATAGTGAGTTTCAGTAAATGGATAGCGGAACAAGGTTTAAGAGAAATAACAAAAAGACAAAATTTATAAAGAGCTACAAAGGACAGGAAATTGTGAAGAGCCATGATCTATTATGTCCTGAAAGAACACGGCACATAGAAGAAGAAGAAGAGGTTGGTAAGACAGACGTGACCTTCCTAATATGTGTGGTGCCTTGAATTTTGCAACCAAAATATAGTTAGTAAGTTTTTCTCACAGCAGTTATCATAATTCACTTTTGAAATGCAAAGGTTATCGGCTTTGTTCAGACATTCACGGGGAATTTTTCACAGGTTAGTTAAATGTTCGAAAACTTGAGTGGAAAGGAGAATAATAATTAGTTTATTAGGTGCATAATAATTAATCTGGCAAGGATAACAATTTTGATGAAATATTCATATAACTCTAGTACAGTATCTTGAAATTGAGAGCTAATCAACAATTTTGAATATGATTTTTATTTCCAGTGCCCAAAAATTAGCTAAGATTGGCTATTTTTATTTTTGCTGCTTTCATGTTGTAGACCAGTGTATTAGGATGTGGGGGCAAAGAATATATACAGAGCATAGTTAATTAGAAGATCAGTTCATTCCACTACTTTGGTATTTTCAGGCGATTTCGGTCAATTGACTTCTTAACGCTTTATTTTTATTAAATTTATGAACGCTGTATTTAAAAAAAAATGAATGAATGAATAAGCGCATAACGTGAGATGTGGTAGAAGGTGAGGAGGAAGAGGGTAAAAGCAATTGTATTGTCAATGTATCGGTGGGGTGGGGGGGTAAATGAAATATACATACTTTCTTTTCATCCTACTTCATATGAACTCAAAAGGAACTTTTTAATATGTATACAAGGGATCAAAATTTCCGATCTCTGATTCAAGAGTTTTTGGTCTGGAAATGTTATTATAGCTAATTTTTCTTGTTGAAAAAAGTTACAGATGTTGCTATGATTGTTGTAAGGTTTTCCTTTTTAAAAATAAAAAAATTAAAAAAAGAAAATCCTTCGTTTTGATTCCATGTTAAAACTTGTTACCTTCAAAATAAGTTATCAATATGTTTAATAAATATAGATATTATAAGTTGAAATTCAAACAAGACGTTACTCATATAAATCTAGTAGCCTGCTAACTATTGCAAATGACGTTCCCATTTTTTAATTGTCTGATACAAAGACATAGAGCTCCAAGTGAAAATACATAAATAACATCCCTGAGACTAACTTGAAAATAATCACTCTAAGGTATGCGTCTTAGTTAATGTGACACAATAATACTATCAAGGAACTGCCAATGAAATTCGAACTCAGAAAGAATAATTCGTAAGACGATATTTCAAGTACAGGGGGCAAGGAATAAATTGTCATATAAATTACGCAAAAATTAAAATAACACTGACATTTCATTTTAACAGATATATTTACCAAAATTACACAAAAATATCTTGAAATACTAAAGACTAAATTTATACAATAAAATCGCCATGGGCTTCAACCATGTCCTCCAGATGATTTCGGAATCTCCTGCAACTCTCCTGGGCGGTCTCCTTGTTTAAGTTGGTGAATGTTACCATAATCCTTGCCTTCAGTTTATCTTTGGTGTTACAAGGAGTTTTTTTGATCTCTCACTTAACTGCCCTCCGCACATAATAATCAAGCGTGTTGCAGTCTGGGGAGTTACGTGGCCAGATGTAAGGAGTGATGTGTTTACAGAAATTGTCTTACAGCTATGATTGGGTTTTCCTGCTTGTGTGGCATGGTGCAGGATACTGTTGCCAGACATAGGGTCTTCCAGTATATACCCTCTTGACCAAAGGCATCACTTGATGTAGGTCTACGTGTTGAGTCTGATGTCCCGTGGGAAGATGAATGGAGGTATAACGTCGCCATCACCAGTGATCACTCCAAACATCTTCGTAATCACCATTAGACTCATCCAACTCTTTCCGAATCTTCTGCACTGTCTTGAGATTGGCACACAAACACTCAGAAACGTTCGTATTGGAGTTTCCGGTGCAAATGCCTAGCAGTACAGCATGTCATTTCCAAATTTCCGGCGGAGTGAATTGCGTCATGGTGCTCATTTTCACACAGACGGTGCCCAATTACTACAACTGTTCAGTCGATAAAATCAAAACAGAACAACGCGCATGCGTGAAATTGAAAATATAAAATGGCGACAATTTACCCATGTAATTGCTTTATGGCATGTACCAAAGAAAATATTAAATAAACATAATTCAGTCACACACAAAACTGAGACTAGATTGTTAATCATCACCTTACATTAGATCTCGAAAAATATATTTACCTAATCTCATGAGTGGTGTAAAGTTAAAATGGACGAGCCGAGTTCAAATTCAGGCCTAGTCTGTTACACAAATACTGTTTGGAAAGTCATGAAATCGTCTTTCTCCACCAGCTATGGGATAAATAGAACGATAGAAAGGATTCCCTAATCTATAGGGGGTCAACTTGTTTAAAAGAAGGAAAAATCTGACATCTAATGACGATGTAGAAAGAACTGAGAAACCTAACGATTACCTTTCACAAGAATGTATGGCCAGACTCCGACAATCAAGAATAGAAATCTGGGGCGAGACATGATCGCCTACGTCATGAAAGCGTAATTTAATCTGATACAAAACTACAAAACATGGACAACTGACTTCCTACTAACTTTTTTAAAATGCCCAGAAAGCAGTGTTTTGGGCCCAGACAGTTGTGTAAGATTTATGGCGTTGACGTACTATTTGTGAATGGCACATTCGTAGATCTTTAACGTACGGTTTTGGTTTTAATTTACTGTCTTACAAAGGTGTAACATTCCTCAAGAATTATAATACAAAAGATGTGCTGCTCGTGAACTTCACATAGTGAGACTGATCTCTCCCTTTTCTCTTTCACTCTCTCTTTTTTCTCTCTCTCTGTATATATATATATATATATATATATATATATATATATATATATATATATATATACGTGTGTGTAGATAATACTAAAATACTATATAGCACTACTTGTAAAAAATAATTTACTTGAAGCTGTTATAATATGAAATACATAATACACTATAAACACAATATATTTCGTTAAAGTGGAAGGCGTTTTAAAATTTAATAATATGTATTTCCTTCGGTGCTGATAAGTTGTGTGAGCTAGAACGTTTTAACAAATAAATACTTATTATTTATATATAGCTAGAAAGACTTCTGCTCCTGATCTCAATGGTATTCGAGATATAAATGTGACAAAAATACAGCATTTCAGAAAAACAAGTAAACAAAATGAAACGTAATATTTCTTTAATGGTCGAAAAGCATTAGGAAAATTCGGACATTTTCTTTTAATAAATTTGATGTGCGACACCTTATACTCAGACTAAAAAATGTAATTTAAATAAAATATACCTAGTTGATCGATTTCGGGAATAAGATCATATAAATAGGAGGACTTGCTGTTGACACGGTTATTTGTATGAACTATATTTTAATCATATTATATATATATATATATATATATATATATATATATATATATATATATATATATATATATATATATATATAATTAAAAATATAGTTGATACATATTATGATTATATATATATATATATATAATATGATTAAAAATATAGTTCATACAAATGATATACACTGGGTCCACGACAAATAATTTTAAAGATAGATGGAGGCAGCATAAGTGCTCTTTCAATAATATAACTAAAAGAAATCAGACTTCCCTATCTAAATATTTTTGGCATCTGAAGGAAACAAATAGAACACCTAAAGTTATTTGGAAAATTATAAACAGGGCTAGAACATGTAAAACTTGGGATGACCCATGCCCTTTGTGCCTCCATGAGAAATTGCACATTATTAAGCTTCTAAATAATAATAATCTATTAAACTATAGACATGAGTTAACGGTTTTTTGTCGACATCATCAGATTCATGGTTTGAATAATTAGCTAAAAACAAGCATACAATATAATAACTTTTATAATCCATAGCCCAAATAAATAGTTTAAATACCCTACAAAAAAGATAACCCTTTATGAAGTCGTCAAAAAACAAACGTTACGGCAATTTTTTTTTATATGCACAAATCCCATTCATAAAAAAATAAAATAAAAAAATAAATAAATCTCCATAGACACGCAAACCAGACTAGAGTTATACTTCTTCCGTTTCAAATTTAGACACCCCCACCTTTCCCTGACTTGACATCTATGAAAGTTACTCTATACTGATACTTATTATTAACACTCAACACACGCCTACCCAATTTAAACAATTCGCCCTAGCTGTTACCATGGAAATTTTGGTTTCAATTATTAAAACACGTAAATTTCAGAAATACGTTATTCCAAAAAAAAAAAAAAAATTCGCTTGATGATGGAACAGAGCTTACTTTAACTTAATTTAATTCAAATAATTATATTGAATTTTTCGGCTCTTGTTTTGAAACATGAGACCTCTTATGTCGCGAGTTGGAATCATATTTTTTAAATAACTATATATATATATATATATATATATATATATATATATATATATATATATATATAAACATTTTGAGAAGTCCACGGTTATCTAGCAATCTCTGCGTGAGGGACGTAGAAATGGTCAGGTTGGTGTCTGAGGGCGGCGTAAAATCACCGGGAGAGTTGTCCCACTCAGACTTTGTCAAAGCAGATATCTAGAAGTAAAACTCTAATATAACACATGTGATGTCTGTTGCCTCTAATGATGTAGACTTGTTCTTTTTGGGGGGTCAAGGTAGGAGTCGCTCAGAGAGTGGGATTGGTTTCGTGCAAAACCTTTCCCCACTTCGTGCATAGGCATTGCTTGAAGACTTAGGACTGTTGCCGGAGATGTTCTTGTCTGTCACACCTGTGCCAAAGAATGCATGTCGAGTTTGAAGCCATCATATATATATATATATATATATATATATATATATATATATATATATATATATATATATATATATATATATATATATATATATATATATATATATATATATATATATATATATATGTGTGTGTGTGTGTGTTTCATTAAAACGACTGACAAGTTACTGCGGTTGAGTTTTATTTAATTTTTCTTGTGTTTAATTAATTTTCTTCTTTTCTGGACGTAATTATGTAGAAATTCTTCTAATGTATTTTATTTCAGTATACTTTTATCCACTATCAATGATGATATTATTTTTACTTTTAACTGCATGTATGGATTGTTTTAAGTATATTCCTAGAGTTTTAGGAATGTAGCCGTTATCAAAGTTGATAATATTGAGTATTGATTTATTCTTTTTTTTTTACTAATAATGCTTTCATTATTTTTAGTCATTTTTTACAGGAACACAATAAAAATTAAATTAAAAACTAAACCGTAGCATCTTGTCAGTCGTTTTTGATAAAATTGTATATATATATATATATATATATATATATATATATATATATATTAATGATATGATAAAAATATAGATTTAAGATATGCTATATTTATGAGTAAAATTGCTCAATATCAGAGATATAGCGTATGCAAATAAATCGTTTCCACAACAAGTTCTCATTCCTATATGATTTAGCTTTTTTCCTCCTTTCTTGATTGGTTTGCTATTGTAAATTTTCCGGTTTCCATTATTGACCGCACTTTAGTTTGTTAAGGTAAGGTACGTTTCTTAATTCTTTTTTCCTTCTTTTTTATTCTCGTTTATTCTGTTTACACACGCACGCACGCACACGACGATGATTTTTTCTGCAAAGGGCGGCGCAGGATCGAGTCCCGTCGGAGAGAAATGTTCTATAATAATTCCTTGAATATTCTGGCCGTGAAACTAATAAAGTACTGTTTTAAAATTAAGAGGAATGTCTATTCAAATATGGGTATCCACTAAAAACGTATAATTGATAAAAATATTTAGGATTAATGAATAAAATTTCATTAATTTTTTTAGAAAGTAGATGTGATTAGAAATTGCATAAAGTTTTGTTAAGTAACATGTTAATCTACGAGGAAGTATGGTGGGAACTGTGTGATGGAGATAAAATTATTTACAGCAATCAGAAAAAAAGTATTGCAGCGTGGCGTGATCGTGATGAAGTATTTGTCAAAAAATTCTATTTGATATATTTAAGCTAAATGAGATTATGCTGAATTAATCTTTTAAGTGGGGAGAGTTTGACAGCTTAGATTATCCCCATCCTAGAATATAGTTGGGTATACTTCGGTCTAGTCCAGAATAACCAACCAGGGTATAATTGGGACTAACGTACTTCATCCCAAGTATAGAAGAGCCGGGTCAGTTCTTGTCCATTTTTACTATTTTTCTTAACTAGAATGTTACGGGATCGTTATATTCTATCCTTAACTCAACTTATTCTTCAGCTATGAAAAAGCCTAACCCAGAATACCCCTGAGTACTCAAGGTTGTTACCCCGGTTTTGAATATAAGAATATTGCCATTCGAGATTCTGATTTTTATTACGACACATGCAGTGATTAGAAACACCCAACTGTCCCAACCTTAAAGCAGTTTACGAGTTTGTCTTTGAACTATAATCTTAGTATTGATCTATCATAAAAAAGATGCTTATAAATTCTAGATAGTTATTTCTACAGAACACACATAAAAGGTTTTCGTTACATTTTGTCAAAAGAGTGTTAAATCAAATGGAAATTACTCTGATTACAACCATGTATTTTAGACAAATGCTTCTACACAATTCTTTTAAACCTTAAACCTCTCAAATCTTCAAAACAGAAATATGCATGTTGTATTTAACTTCAGACTTTCGATATTTTAACCACTTCGTCAGCATCTAGAGCATTGGCTTTTATATGATTTTCTTGTGGACTTCAATGGGATTAACTTTTGTTCTTTGCAGACTTCCTGCCGCCATTCCCCCTCTTAGGTGCGATACGAACGCAAAAGGAAGCGCAATTTTGATTTTTGAAAAGGAGTCTCTATCATTCACCGCCATTTTTTTCTGACATTTTAACGATCAAGCGATCATCTTTGTATTTGGCGCCAACAAAGCAAATGAATAAATATGTAAGATAAAGAAAATAAACAAAAACCTGCAGTGTCCAAATATTTAGCTGAATATCTGCAGGATATGAGGCCAATTTGAGACACTTCAGAAGAATGATCTTGTCACAAAAGATGATTTGAAAACAGATTGCAAGAAGCAGGTGATCTAACAATAGTTTATCAATATGGGATATTTTAGTTTTGTTCTTTTGATTTTTACAGAAATCTTTCTCCATTTATTGGAGACACGCAGCTCTATGCTCGTGAGATAATCAACGTGTGTAACCGATTATCGAGTAGAGGAACAGACAGACCTTAGTCTAGACAGCTTTAACCTTTAATCTACGATATTAATAAAGGAGAAGAAAATACGGTTTTTATGGGAGATTTTTGACAGTCGGAAAAACTGCATTTCAGTCGGAGTAGTTAGAAAAGAAAAAAAAATAATTGTAAGGGCGGCTGTGTTCCACATTTTGGGATTGGCGATATTGAACGTATTATGTGCGCGTGGCATAGTGGTTAATCAGCGCAGAAATTAGAGTAGACATCGCGATTTCAAGTTCCGACCGAGTCCATTATGTTCACTTTCATATAAATGCACTTATGAAAGGTATCAACTCACAGTTATGGTTTAACTAGCAATGCAGGCCAGGTAACCAGTCTAGGAGACGGATAACTCTGATTTCAAAACTGTAGAACATAGGGCAGGTAACCCCATCCTCTGAAGGCCTTCTTGTTACGGAAACCACAGCAGCAACATGGCATAGTGTAGCTGTAGCTTTATAGACAGGAAATTTATCTTGAGTAGAATATGTTAAAGGATGAGAACTTCACGTTCCTGTCGAGTATACTGTTACCCGAACGATTTTCTCAAATACTGTGTATTATTTTATGTGGAAATGTTACAAGGGACGTTTGTTGATTTGAATTTTATGCTTTGTACATTGATGCATTTTGTTTCGTGGAAAAACGTAAAGTTTTTATCGTTCTTAAATTTTTTTTCCAGAAAAATCCTGTAATGTGTTGTATTTAGTGTTTGTTGTCACGATTATCGACAATAACATTTTCAGCTTTGTTGAATTTTTACGTTTTAAACGGGATTGGATTTCTATTACTGATTCCGTTTTCTGTTTAAAAACTCTTTCTTCTTTGAATCTTAATTGCAATTGTTGCAGAAATTTGCGCGCCTTCGCCCCAGATCTGTGTTCCCGAAGGATTGATAATTTTCACTTACCTGTACAAATGTATGGAGTTTCTCAGTACTCTGTAAATTACATTAATTTATTTACAAATAGGTTACTTTTAACCAGTAATGTTTTCTCTTCAAGGGCCATCTTTCGTAATTAAATTGATTTTTTTTTATTCACATAAATGTTTTCATATTTTTTAAATTTTTTTTTTTAATTTTGACATGACTATTTCGAAATTTCTTCAGGTGGAATGTTTTTCTTTCTAAATACCATTCTTAATAACTTCTATTCACACAATCACAGCTGTATATTGTCAACTTCAGTGTTTCTCGTCATGGTAATTCTCACTGCAATATTAATTTTATTGACACCATCCGTTTTTGTCATCAGGTGTGACACAATGAAAGCTTGACATTGCTTTTCCCTTTGTGGTCTATGTGACAGAGCAGGGACAGAACGATGAAAGAAAGTGATAATAATATTGATGATGATGATGATGATGATGATGATGATGATGATGATGATGATGTCGAAGGACCTGACAGACATGAAATGGCGATAATGTTTTCTGGAATTGCCGATTTTCTGCAATACGCGTGACCATAATGCTGTTATAGTTTCTATTTGTTATTATTGTAGAAGTGAAGAGAAGGAAGAAATATTGTAGCAGAAGTGATTATGATGATGTTTGAACACATCATCATCATCATCAATATTATTATCACTTTCTTTCTTTTAGATCCTCATCAAGTCATACCATCCCAGAACGAGAACTCCTTTCTCGTAGTATTTGCAGTGCCAAGCAACGCAGACTTCTTAAGCTATGTAATTGTAGTTTTTAATTCTGATTATTGCATGTCTCAATATAAGCATCTACGTTCGGATGTATAGACTCCAACGCCATTCAATGATATATAAGACAATATGGGGCCTGGAAAATTCAATTCGAAGGTCGATGGATTTCTTTTGCTTGTCAGTTTCTTTCGTCTTGATTATTATTGCCACTAGGACAGTCACACCAGTGAGGTGGCATTTTGTTGTTTCTTTGTCAAGGATAGTGCGATCTAGTTCGCTGGCCTTAAAGACGCGAACTGTAGAGATGTTGAAATCTCACAAAATGATAACTTGGCCGTTCTCAGTCACCTTCTCTGGCTTGAAGAAGTACCATTTCTCATCGACTTCATTATTATTATTATTATTGTTGTTATTATTATCATTATTATTAAATGTTCATGTATATGTGATATTTCATGCATATAATTGTTTCTATTAGATTTCTGGCAAATATCCTTAATAATAGTAAGGCTAATAATTTCTTCGTACCGTCTCAAATCCTTTTCCGATTTTTATTACATCCATTTCCGATTCTTGTGATTTTGTCACTTCTTCCAAATAAGCCCTGAAAACGTTTATTTTCTCGATGTCAGACTACACAGTTTTCTCAGTTTCTGAATAATTATTCACTTACTTTCTTTTTCAGCTTGTCGTCTATATAGACAAAACTAGATCTATGATTCGGCAAAGCTTCTTTTCATTGCTCACGATGATCAAGTGTTTTTTGTTTTTTTTTCAGGTGAATGATGAAGTCTGTCTCAAGCTTAAATTTTCAGAGTATTTTATTCTTTTTTTCAACGATAACCTCTGGTTGTGCTGCTGACATAGTCGATTAAATAGTTCTAATTCAATGACTATTCCTACTCTACCATGCTTATTTTCATATTTCTTTTCAGCTAACTTGCTGTAGTCACTGATAAAGGATTTTACTGTCTTACTTTTATCTCCACTGACACAATATTTACTGTTTTTCTGTATATTTTTTATATATTCTCTTTGAACTAATTTCTTCTGATATATCTCTTCTGACTTGTAACAAGAGATACTGTTTCTCCTTTTAGCTGTCATCTCTTCGTGCATGTTCTCGATTGTTGGTCTTGCATGTCTTCTGCGTCTTAAATTCTTTATGGGGAGTTGTCTTTTGTCTCCTTGTTACATTTATTACCATTTCAGAATTCTCTCTTGTACTGTTTCCAGTTCTTTTACTTCATATTCTCGTCACATGTGTTTTTCACTTCCAACTCCTCCACTTCCTTTTTAATGTACAGTCTGCCAGTATCGCAGGGAAGAATCCCTTACCTAACTCCATTCATCACCACCATCTTAAAAGACATTTATCAGAAACCTAGTGATAGAGTACTGAACCACTACGTGATATATGTCCTCCTTTACAGCGAATGTTGAACGGTCTCCTCAAAGATGAAGAAGAGACTCAAGGCAACAGAGGTATGTATCTACAGAAGGTTGCTAAGGATACATGGACAGAACATTTGAGCAACGATGAGGTTTTGGAGAGGGTGCAAACAAGGACGAAGCTTATACTTAAAATCAGGTAGAGGTAGCTGAAATTTCTGGGACACGAAATGAGAAAAGAGGGCTTGGAGAATCTGATACTCACAGGGCGGATAACGGAAAAGCGATACAAGGGAAAGCAGCGCCTGGCATACTTAGCGGTCTTAAGCAAGTGCATGACAGAACATGGTTTGGGAGAGTTAGCAAAAGAACAAAACATATTGAGAACTACAAGGGATAGGAGGAAGTGGAGAGCCATGATCGCCTACGTCCTGAATGGACACGGCACATAAAAGAAGAAAGAATTGAAGAGTGCATTAGAAACGGTGTTCGTTCTATTTCCATGTGCATAAGTACAAAACAATCATATACAAGCTCGTCTGGACTGCTCCCTTACGTCACCAAACACATTTCCGATGTTGTAACTATTACACCAGTTCAAACAACTTATACGCCTAAACATATATTGTGATGTATCGTTTTCAGAACCAAAGAACGATATTGTTTGTTAATGGAGATCAAAACTTTGTAAGAATTAGCTGTATTCTACTTTCATTGATAAAGGAAGATCAGTAGTTGATTGGAGATGTTGAAAGTGAGTATGCAGAAAATATAAAAGTCATTTCAAAAATAAGATACACTTGTAAATTATCTACCATTCTGACGAAATGTTGGCAAGGTTGGTTGGAGAGGCAGTGTAAAGAGAAAAAAGACTTAAAATTTAAATTCTGCCGGTCGTAAAACCCATTAACCCTCTTCTCTGGCGAAGAGAACGTATGTCGCCTCACCCGGAAGCTGAACACAGCGCTTTGCTTAGTTTGTTTTCCGTGTTGATAATCTTTCGCACCTTCAAAATCTGATTGATTTTTGCATTAAAACAACAACAACAACAACAACAAAAAGAAAAGAAAAAAAAAAGGTCAGCTGGAAAGAAAAATAAAATAAATGGGCGAAAGCAAGAAATGTAAAATTAAGAAAAAATGACACGAAAAAAACACACAATGTACGTTTGGAATTAACCAAAGTGTAGATAAGTAAATAAAAGAAAACTGATGCCTTTTTTTTCACTGTTTAAAAAAAAAAACTCACTTTTCTGGCTTGTAAAGGAAAGACGGAAGAAAAGAATAAGCAAATCATTTCTAAAAAATGTTCTAATCAATGCTGACAGGTTGATGGCGAAGAGACGCTCAGTCACTTCGCCTAAAACAATGGGAACAGGAAAAAGTGGAAAGGGGAAAACGAAGCGAATAAAGAAATGCTTGACAAAACGAAACGAAAAAAATTGTCATGGAACGAAAGTTGAACAAAAACAGAAGTCAACTCAAAAGAAAACGTACCGACAAGGAAGATATGAGGGAATAAAAACAAAAGAAAAACGTATTTTTATGCGTGCCTATGATTCAATTCCTCAATGAATATGTGAAAGAAGCGAGGAACAACCAGAATAGGTTGACAAGTACAACTGAAGCTATCTATATGTGTGTGTGCGTGCAGAAAAATGAAGATGCTATATATATATATATATATATATATATATATATATATATATATATATATATATATATATGTGTGTGTGTGTATGTGTGTGTGTGTGTGTGTATGTGTATGTGCTCTTGTGCGTGTGCGCGCACTCTGAAAAACCAGGACTGAGCTCGTCTCTTCCCCGAAGTGTTTATTTTGGAATTGTTCAGACACACACACACACACACACACACACACACACACACACACACACACACGCACACACACACACACCGACGCACATATGCGCAAGCGCGTACACGCAAACACATATAAATGGTGGGATGGGTAAATTGTAGCCATTATATATAATTAATTTCGCTCATGTGCGTTGTTTGTTTTTTGATTTTGTCGACTGCATAGTATAGTTGGCTCAGTTGGGTACTGTCGCTGAAAAAAAGTTTACCATGACGCAATTTACTCTGCCATAAATTTGGAAACGGCTTGTATGCGAAAAGCATTTGCGCCGAAAGTTCTAATACGAACATTTCAGAATGTTTGGGTGTCAATCTGAGGACAGCGCAGAGGATTCTGAAAAAGTTGGATGAATCTAATGGTGATTACGAAGGTATTTGGAGTGATCACTAGTGATGGTGACGTTATGCCTCCATTCATCTTACCACAGGGCCTCAGACACAACACGGAGGCCTACATCAAGTGCCTTGAGGAGGTACTGCTGCTTTGGGCCAAGAGAGTGGCTGCTAGAAGACTCTATTTCTGGTAGCAGGATTCTGCACCATGCCACACAAGCAGGAGAACCCAGTAAAATATTTTGCAGAGTAGCCTTCATAATTTTGTTTCACTAGGTGAATATTGTGCTACAGAAAAAAAAATGCAGCTATTATCTATTTTATGCCTACGTAGATGGCACGTCCCTGATAAATACACACACACACACACACACACGCACACACACATATATATATATATATATATATATATATATATATATATATATACAAGAAAATATATGAATGTGTTGTGTGTGTGTGCGGGGGTTTGATGTATATAAATTGTAAGCGACATATCAGCGGAAGTAAACAGAAAACACGCATATTCATTGAAGTGTCTTTCGCATTTGATGGAGAGACAAAGAAAGAAAGATGAAGAGAATTGTTTTCAATGGTGAATAGTGAAGCAAATCGTGTCGCTAAACCAATATTACTTGAATTTTGTCGAAATATTCAATTTAATCATCGATGTTTCTTATGGGTTGGGCCTGTCGTTGAAGAAGCATGGCAGATTCATCGGAATCAGACGTGTAGTTCTGGATAAACTTTCTTTTGCAATTGCTTGAGGATGTTTTATAAGCAACAGACGGTGTGTCTCACCGTGGAGCATAGCTTTGTAAATACTAGTAAAACATTACAAACATAGTTAGTGGTGGATTCGCCATGAAATAACCTGTCTTCGTTGCCTTTGATAGACATAGTAAAAATCAATAAAATATAGAGAAATACTGACAGACTGAAGTGTATATATATATATATATATATATATATATATATATAATACAGATAGATAGATAGATAGATAGATAGATAGATAGATAGATAATGATCAAGCTTAGATAGATAGATAGATAGATAGATAGATAGATAGATAGATAGATAGATAGATAGATAGATAGATAGATTTCGGTTCCAAATTCTAAGATGGCTACCAAGTACGAAAATCAAGATCTGGTGAAGGCCGGTGGGTAGTGCCGCCGAATCGATAAGAATATATCACCCAAGATGGTCCCACTAGCAAATCATATAATATTCATCTCAAACAGTCCGATAAAAATTAGAATATGGAAAAAGAAATCAATATCTGATTGCTTCATATCGATCTTCTGCATGATGGGCAGAATTATTTGATATATGACCTTTATTAATGAACAACATTTTTCTCATCAACAATTTCTTATTGAACAGCGATTAGCTTTACAGGATAGAGTGTTTGTAATAAACCATTTTTGAAAGTTTCCACCAGAAAATTTCAATGAGATTGAGATCAGTGTTGTTTTCTGGATATATGTTGGAATTTTCAACTGAGAAAAGTGTTCAAATTTCAATATGCATCAGCGCACTGACTGTTGAAGTATAGATTGCTATCATCCAAGGCCATTTAAATGACGTGTCACCTCATTATCATAAAAGAGTTGATAAATTTACGATCTTTCTTTAAACCAGTGTTTCCCAACCGCAAGAGGTCGCTAGGGGTTTCACAGGTTTTAGTGGAGCAAATTTCACTATTGTAAATCAGCTTTGAAAATATCATTTCCTTGATCCATATATTTGTTCATAGGACATTGCACTTTGATTTATCTTATGCCATGTCAACATTGTCAATAAAGGAAAAGTTATGTTAATAGATGCCTGCTTTCGATCTGTTTTATAAATATGTGATAGTTGTTATTTATGTTTATATTTTTGTGTTTACAAATTTTTTGTGAACGAAATCTTCGGTGTGAGCTCTCATAAACGAGCAATTTGTTTTCATTACCAATAAATTTGACGAAAGAGAGAGTCATTTTTATCCTTAAACCAGTTATCCGAAAAATATATTATGTTTACCACTTGAACTCCGATAAAAAATATAAAAGAAAATAGATATTAATAAGCGTATGAAATAATATTTATGCAACTGTTCCCTGAGACATGAATAATATTTTAAGGGTCCCACAAAAGCACTTCTCTAGATTGTCATCTTTTTTTTTTGTTTTATCGGAACGACACAAGACAAAACTTCCAACATGATTACCTTGGTCAAGGCAAGCAAAGGTGATACATTATTGAATATTACTTGAGTAAATAGCAGGACACACCAGGTTCTATAGCCTTGGATGGCAACTGGTATCGAAGGATACATGATCGCCTAAGCGTGTATCATGCATGACACATAACTGACTGACTTTCATTCAATCATCCACATTTCAGGATTGTTTCTCTGTTACCCATCTTAACCATGTTTTCTTCTGTGTTTGCTTGTTATATCTATATATGTCGGCATAAGTTGTTCTATTGTCTATAAATTTAAATGTCTGTGCGAGGCTATCTATGTCGGAAGAACCAATCAGGGACAAGATACCCGGATTGGTTAACTCGTTCCCTCGAATATAAGACAGGTTACTTGTAATCGTCGTAATCGTCGTATGCATGATACCCAGTCTGTGCATGATTCTGCTATCGGCTAACACTTGCTGGATAATCCAGATTGTACAGCAGGATAGAGGAACGATTCGTTCACTGCCTTATGCAGAGCGCAGTCCGCTCAACAGTTTCGTTTATTTGAAGCGGTTTACATTAAGTTACATCAACCGTTTCCGTGCGGACAGAAAGAGCATTTTGTTCGCTCTCTCGGTCTTTTTGGGGGCACATGAGTGAAGTTTTATACTCACTGGGAACCATTTATAATAGGCTATTGCCCATTTTCTTTTTTTTTCTTTTCTCCCCTCGCCTTATTAATAAATTTGTATTTTATTAGTCATTCCTTTTTTTCTCCTCCTTAGAGTGCGAGTTGTGTTTTCTTTTATCAATCAACATTACCAACGCATTCTCCTTCTGACGTGTTGGCCGAAAGAGATCTCTAAAGAACGAATGCCTTACTGCATTTTTAAATCTATGTATACATTCTGTGGCATCAGATTTCTGTTCAAATAATATATATAATCTTAATTCTATGACAGTATAAAGCGAGCAAAAGGAATGAGTTTCATATTTGATGCTAGCCTTATCTTGATATTTTCAATTTCCTAAATAAAACGTGTCTTCCTTTCATCGATCTGAGGCGTGTTACGAAATGCCTCAAACAAGCAATGAAAATGACATTCACTTGAAACATAATTAACCAATCGATTTTGCAAATATTTAAAAAAACAAAAAAAAACAAGTATAACTTTTGATCATAATCCATTTCAATAGTGACTAAAATCTTAACAAAATTTCTAAAACTAGTTGATACTCACATTAATATAAAGTAAGATAGAGAGTGGAAAATATTTTCGAAACAATATAAATAAAGATGTTAGCTCGAATAATTCATTTTCTAATTACAGCATTTTGAGTCAAATTCTTGTATTGGTTTGGTACCAATATTCCAGCTCTTTTCCTTTCATGGAATTCTATCCATATCAAATCATGAGATCTGTAATATATTCAGCAATACTGAGTGACCAAAATGAGTCTTAGCCGTCCTAATCAAAAGTAACATCTCTTATATCCGGTAACATGGCGTAATTAAAGGTAATCCCGGCAACTGTGAATCACATAATCAAACACACGTCTGGAGGTATTGATGTGTCTTTGACCGGCGTGTCTGCCCGGAAATGATGCAGCCATATAATATTAATCTGAAAATAGACTAATTCGGAAATAACGTCGTTGTCCCCCCCTTCAAAATACCCTCCTTGGGATCTCGCACACATATTATAATGTCTTTTCAAACATTCTGTGATATCCATTTAAGAGATCGCCTTCAGTTGCAATGTTTTCATTCTCGTACGAAGTCTGAAATCACCCGGAAGATTTAACATTAAGAACTGATCTCTATTAATCATTCGGGAGACCCCTTTCTGGCTTCCATGAGTATGGCTGATGCTAACCTTCAACAGAATGACTCTTTGCGCATTCTCGGATTAACATTTTCAAATGACATGAAGTGGAAAGAGTGCTAGGTCTGCTGCTGAGAAAGTTGATTCACTGTGTCGTACTAGACAATTTTTCTCTACAAAATCTATCTCATAAGCACTAATACATTCCCCACTGATAAAATAAAAATAAAAATAAAACTACGGCGCCTTCTTTAATGAATTTAATATGAACAATGAGAAGTCGACCAGAGAATTCGAGAGGATTATACTAAATATAATATGTCCTTTTTAATCAGCCAAACATGATTAAAAATCTATATTGCTTATCTATAAGTCTACTGTTCGTCCATACTTAGAACTTTGCTGCCACATATGGTCTGATGCTCCTGCTCTATATTTAGAGATTCTTGATAAAATCCAAAGCAGAATCAGCAATATTATTGGACTTGATCTGGCATTACAGCTTCAGTCATTACAGCTTCCTGGTACCTCTCCTAAAAATACTTTCATGGTAATTGTTCTAATGATATGGTACCTAGACTTCATGAATTTAAGCACAGTACTAGATAGGAGGTTTCATCAATTTAAAGTTGAATTGGATAAATGTAATTGTAAGTTCTGTGTTAACAATTTCTTTTCCCACACTTCTCACTTGTTGAACTCTCTTCTGGTTTTATGCTTTCCAGCCAACTTGGATTTTAAAAAATTAAATATAATGTCAATCGTTATCTACTGCCTCCCTAATTATTCTTCTATTGTTCGTTAATTAATGTTTCTGTTTCCTTATTCTTTTACACTCAATAATCCCTGGTGTCTTAGTGGCATTATTACCTTACCTGAAGTGAAATGTTTAAAAATAGAAAAGTTATGAAAATCCAGAAAAAATATAAACAAAAATCTAGACTGTAAGTTGTGCTAAGATATCTTGCCAAAACCACATAACGAGATGTGAAGAACAGTCTAGAATCTAGACTCTAGGTTAGGGAGTCGGCACTCCGGATTACATCTGGCCCGCGAAGTATTTTTGTCCGGCTCGCCAAATTTACACCTTTACTTTATTCATTTGTGGAACAAGTGTCAGAAATACATCAGTTGGAGTTAATCAACGAATTTTTGAAATCAAAATTTAATTCCGATTTCCCTGCTGACTTCTACAAGAAATATGTTTTGCCCAGCGGAAAATATGAAAACCTATTGAATAATGATGGCATTTTATTTGGAAGTTCATCTGCTTGTGAACAACTTTTTCGAAAATGAAATATACTAAAAGAATAATAATGTTGGGGGCTGGGCACCTAGATGATGTTTTGCTCCTGTCATTGACAACTATTTCATCTGGTGTGGAGAAGTTATCAAACAATAAAAAAATAAGAAGTGTCTCATTAACTAATTCGCCATTTCTGACTGTATTTCGTTTGTAGTATGGAATTTGCACTTTTTATTGTCTTTCTACAGTAAAATAAAGAACCTTATTTAAATAATATAACATTAACTTCATTTTCTTTTCTTTAAACCTCCAGACTAAGGCAGACTTCTGGGCGGAGCGGTCTGAGGTCGAGACAATTTATTATAGTATATTTCATATCATGGCCCTCCTGTGAGACAATGCAAAGTTGTCTGGCCGGATCCCTCCAAATGGTGGCCTACCCCTGGATTCAAAATAGCTAAATACTTTCCGAACGTTGTGTGAAATTTCCAAATTCGTACTGGCAGCAACTGGATTCATTTGATTTCGTGTGTGCTGCTTGCAGAAAGCCTTCCATAACGTGGGTAAGCCTTTCAATGGATGACCCGTCAATTTCGAAGTTTTATCTGACATGTGTTTATGCTGTTATCTCCAAAATCGTTCTTAAGCATTCAAATAGTCTCCATAGATGAATGGTAAAGTGTCAAGCAAAACTAGATGCGTATTCCCTAGAAACAAATTGCATAATACACACGGAATGGCATCTTGAGTATTACAGTTTCAATGTTTTGATTGTTGTGAGTTCAATTCTTGAGTCAAGTAGTGAAAGTCAGAAACAATGGTTAAATAGATAAATCTAACAGAGAACGAATGCCTATTTTGTTTGATCATGAGCCG